CAAACTTGTTCAGGATATTAAGCAAACTGGTGATAAGCATATTAATGATTATACCCCTATTGTGCTCTTGAATGCTATACCTGATTCTTACAGTGATGTGAAATCTGCTATAAAGTATGGTAGAGATAATGTGAATCTTAAAACTGTTGTGAATGGTTTGAAAAGCAAAGAGCTGGATTTGAAAACCAACCGGGGTAATGAGAATGTCGATGAGGTTAATTTTGTGAGGGGAAAGCCTCAAAATCATTTTCAAAATGAAAAACCTTCGACAAATCAAAATTTTGGCAAAAAGAAGGGTACGTGGAAAAATTGGTCGAAGTCTCGATCGAAAAACCGTAAGTGTTATAATTGTGGTGAAACTGGTCATTACATGAATGATTGCCCTAATCCCAAGCAAAACCAGCATAATGATCATGCGAATATGGCATCTAGTAGTGAAAACCTTGGTGAGGTGTTTTATGTGAATGAAATGCATGATAATGTGAATTCTGTGCTTTCTCGTTCTCTTTGTGAAACTGAATGGCTTGTTGATTCTGCATGCTCGTTTCATATGTCTTCTTTAAAACACTTGTTTTCGAACTATAAAGATGTGAAGCATGGATTTGTTTCTATGGCTAATGAGAAATCGTGTGAAGTTGCTGGTATTGGTGATATTTGCTTGAGATTTGATTCTGGTTATATGTTAACTTTGAAGAATGTGAGGCATGTCCCTGATTTGTGTCATAATTTGATATCATGTGCTGCTTTAGAAGATGATGGTTTAGAAGGTAAATGGGGAAATGGTGTTATGAAAATTTTGAAGGGTTCTTTGGTGATCTTCAAAGCTGTTAAAAAGTTGAACTTGTATGTTTGCATTGCTGAATCTTGTATGCAAAACCCTGTGGATGATGTCTTTGGTGACAAAATTGATTTGTGGCATAAGCGTTTAGGTCACATGAGTTCTAGGGGTCTTGAGATTTTGCATAAAAATAGCTCTTTTGGTTGTGACAAATTGTCTTGTGTGCCATTTTGTGATTCTTGTGTGCTTAGCAAACAATCTCGAGTGTGTTTTCCTGTTTCTGAACCTATTGTTGCTCCGAGCAAGGTGGAGCTTATACCTAGTTCATGTCTTTTGTTTGATGATGTGCAGCATGTGCCTATTATGCCTGATGAGGACTCTATTTCTGACAATCTATCTATAAATGTATTTGATAATCATGTTGATGATGCTGTTGTGCATGTGGAAATTGTTGAAAATTTGCCTAAATCTGATCTTTGTGATTTACATGACTATCATTCGGCTAGAGATAGATCTAGAAGAGATAGGGCTCTATATGTTTCTAAACATGACAATTCTTTGCAATGGATGAATATTGTGGAAAATAAAATGAAGTCCTTGCATGTGAATATATGTGGTCTTATGTTTCTAAACTAAGAAAGTGGTTCTTAGTGTATTCTAAATGGATGTCATGTTGCTTGAAAATTTTGATTTATGATACGTGTGATTGATACGTGATATGTGACTTTGTGTGAGGTAGCCGACTTTATGTCTGCTACATGTTTGCTCTAACTTTGTGTTTGAGTGCAGGTACAGTAAGGTAAAGGCGATGATGACCCCTGTCAACCCGAGTCTTGTGAACCGACTTTGGGCCAAGGTGGAGATTGTTGGTAATTGTGGCCCAAAGGATATGTTTATTGATGGCCCAATATTCAAGCATTTCTCTGGCCCAATTTCTTTGGCCTGAGCCCAGTTTGGCAGCCCACTTTGATCAAAGTGATCTTGACCGTTGTTTTCTTTTCTATAGTGACCTGTTGCCCTAAGTTACTCTCCTAACAAACAGCCATCAGATTAAGAGGCCCCAACGTATTAAAAATCTCAACAGCAGCAATTACAAAGGAGATTTTCTCGCAGCTTTCAAAAACCCGATATATACTCTCTCTGTTTCTCTCTTGCTTATATATGCATGCACTGGTTCTTGCTCTCTGAATCTCCTCCTGACTCTTGTGTCAAATTGAACATACCATTTTCTATCCTTAGAGATCTTTGTGATAAGGGGGTTTGTGATTTTGGTGAGAGTTCCCTTCGTGTTTCAGCCAGGTCCTTTTGCGAGAGGAATTTTGGGGGTTTTGTGTGCGGGCTGCTTCTCAGGCCGAGCTTGGTACAATGGTCTAGTGGTGTTACCCTGAGTTTGCAGTGCTGGAATTATTGAGGCCAAGGGTCCAATTGATCGGTTCTTTGTCGGATATTCGGTGACTCATTTTGTGGGCTTGACGAAAGGGGACTGAGCCTGCTTGTTTCAAATCCAATCAGTGACATTCGGGCCTCGTACAAGAACATCAAAAGGGTGTATTCGTTCCTCTTTATGTTTTGTTTAATTTCAGCATTTTCAATTCATTTATATTGTTTGGTTGCTGAAATTACTACATTTATTGGTATCTTCTTGTTTCGTCTTGAAGCGATCAAACCGGGACTTGTTCGGGCTCGAAAAGGTTGCTGTCCGGGAAGCAAAAGTTGCTGTCCGGTGCCTAACGGACGCTGCCGGGATCTGCTGGTTGCTGTCCGGCTCCTACAGAGGCTGTCCGGGACCTGCTGGTTGCTGTCGAGGCTTACCGGGTGCTGCCGGGACGAACCAGAGGCAGTTCGGGACTGTTCGGGGCCAGCCCGGGCCCGGCGAGTCGAGCCAGACGACCACCTAACACTTATATATTAATGTTTATATAAATTAAAATATTATAGTTGTTGAAATCTTGGTTGATGATTATTACCAGTTAATTAGATAAAACAAACATGAAATTATTATCATAACAATTGTGTATGGATCTTTAATGGGTTTGGTTATGCCATAAGAAATAGCTAATTGAATTAAAATGCTTAATGAGCTAAAAAAATGATAAATAAATTGTTTAAAAAAATTAGAAAAAAATATCCTTTAATTTGGTTGTATAATTAGTAAGTAGTAGCTGTTATGTAATAA